ATCGGAACGTTAGGAGGAAGCGGGATATGGATTTCTTAGTAGTAGTCTTCGTATTAGTATTCGTAGTCTATAGTCTTGACTTCTCTGTCTTTTGGTCGTCTACTACTACTACTCTTTTTAATTTTGACTACTACTACTCTTTATACATTACACTTCTTATTACTCTATTGCTACTGATAAGCTTTCCTTCTTATGTTTTAAGGTTATATTAATCTTTACTACTACTACGACTGCTATTACTACTACTACTACTGCTTAACTGCTACTTAGCTAACTGCTGCTTTCGTCTACAACTACTTAATTCTATCACCTAATTACTACTACTACTAACTACTAATAACTACTACTACTACTTACTGACTCTCGTACTTACTACTAACACTACTACTACGTATACTACTTAACACTCTACTCTGGTTACTACTACGACTTAATATAATTTTTAAAAACACTACTACTACTACTGTTACTACTACTACGTCGGCTACTACTACCACTCTTATCTTCATTCCCTTTCAGAATATTCGATTGCTCCCCTTTGACCAGCCGGTCGCGGCTCCATCCGGGCCCTCCCATCCTTTTTGTACAGCACCAATACAAAGTAGTATATATACATACACATATATATATAGATATGTCGATCTTTTATGTTTCATTGTTCTTGTTAAGTTTTTTTTTTTTTCTTATGTGTTTTTTTATTCTATTTCCTTTTTATGTTCTTTTTTTTTTTTTTTTTTATTATCTTTTCTAGTTTTTTTTTCTATTTTTTTCAATTTTTTTTCATTTCTTATTTATTATCTTTTTTTTTTTTTTTATTTTTTTTCTTCATCTTCTCTCTATATCTCTCTCTCTATCTTTTTATTTTTTTTTTATATTTTTTTATTTTCTCTAATCTCTTGCCGCCGACGATGCGAAACGCGTAGCAGGAATAGAACACGGCGCACATCACGCGCGGCCGTCAATCTGGGCCTTCCCATCCTAACTGTAAAAAGTGAATACAAAGTCGCCGTTGTTTCTCTCAACATGGCCTTTCTTGTCGTCGGCGATGCGACATGCGTAGCAGGAATACGACGCGGCGCACATCGCGCGCGGCCGTCAATCCAGGCCTTCCCATCCCAACTGTGAAACATCACTAAAACATAGTTGTTGCTTCTCTCAGCATGGCCTGTTTGTCGTCAGCGATGCGAAATGCGTGGCCGGAACGGGACGCGGCGCACATCGCGCGCGGGCGTCTGGTGCAACCCCAAGCGGGATGGGCCATCCTACCAGTCAGAAAACAATACGACGTCGACCTGTCTCTTCTCAACGTGGACCTTCTTGTCGTCGGCATTGTGACACGCGTGGCAATACTGGGGCGTGGCGCAGTCTCGCGCGACAGGTCCAAATGTCGCTCTCGCGTTGGCGCCGCGCGCATGTTTTCTGAAAGTTGCGCTCCCGCACAGGCGGAGAGCACACGTTTTGTTCGCCAATTCGTTTGGCGCCTGGGGCCTCCCAGGGCCTCGTGGATTCTCCCTGGGATCTCCTGAGACTCCCTGGGGGCTCCAGCTCGCCAGTTCGTCACAGGACGAAATGTCGCTCTCGCCTTGGCGCCGCGCGCATGTTTTCTGAAAGATGCGTCCCCGCACAGGCGCACATGCTTCGTTCGCCAATTCGTTGGGCGCCTGGGGCCTCCCAGGGCCTTCTGGAACATCCCGGGGCATGATAGTGCCTCCTGGGACCAGCCCAGGGCCTCGTGGATTTCCATCCCCCCTACCAACTCTCACAAAATCTCCTGGGGCCTACTGAGACTCCCTGGGGCCTCCAGCTCGCCAGTTCGTCACAGGACGTAATGTCGCTCTCGCCTTGGCGCCGCGCGCATGTTTTCTGAAAGATGCGTCCCCGCACAGGCGCACATGCTTCGTTCGCCAATTCGTGGGGCGCCTGGGGCCTCCCAGGGCCTTCTGGAACATCCCGGGGCATGATAGTGCCTCCTGGGGCCAGCCCAGGGCCTCGTGGATTCTCCTGGGGCCTCCTGGGACTCCCTGGGGCCTCCAGCTCGCCAGTTCGTCACAGGACGGAATGTCGCTCTCGCCTTGGCGCCGCGCGCATGTTTTCTGAAAGATGCGTCCCCGCACAGGCGCACATGCTTCGTTCGCCAATTCGTGGGGCGCCTGGGGCCTCCCAGGGCCTTCTGGAACATCCCGGGGCATGATAGTGCCTCCTGGGGCCAGCCCAGGGCCTCGTGGATTCTCCTGGGGCCTCCTGGGACTCCCTGGGGCCTCCAGCTCGCCAGTTCGTCACAGGACGGAATGTCGCTCTCGCCTTGGCGCCGCGCGCATGTTTTCTGAAAGATGCGTCCCCGCACAGGCGCACATGCTTCGTTCGCCAATTCGTGGGGCGCCTGGGGCCTCCCAGGGCCTTCTGGAACATCCCGGGGCATGATAGTGCCTCCTGGGGCCAGCCCAGGGCCTCGTGGATTCTCCTGGGGCCTCCTGGGACTCCCTGGGGCCTCCAGCTCGCCAGTTCGTCACAGGACGGAATGTCGCTCTCGCCTTGGCGCCGCGCGCATGTTTTCTGAAAGATGCGTCCCCGCACAGGCGCAGCGCACATGCTTCGTTCGCCAATTCGTTGGGCGCCTGGGGCCGCCCAGGGCCTTCTGGAACATCCCGGGTCATGATAGTGCCTCTTGGGGCCAGCCCAGGGCCTCGTGGATTCTCCTGGGGCCTCCTGAGGCTTCCTGGTGCCTCCAGCTCGCCAATTCGTCGGGCTTCCCGTGGCCTTCCCAGGGCATCGTAGATCCTCCTGGGGCCTCCTGAGGCGTCTGGGGGCTTCCTGACAAGTCCTAGGGCTTCCTGAAACCTCGTGGGACCTCCTAGGGCCTCCTGGGGTTCGCTGGGGTTTCCTGCAACCTTCTGGAGCCTCCTGGGGCATCCTGGGGCCTCCTGAGGCTTCCTTGGGCCTCCTGGGGCATCCTCGGCTCGTGCTAAAATGCCAGCGCAGCCTTTGAGACGCGCCAGGAATTTCCCATCGGTAACCGCCATCGCGGCTGCATCAGCTGTGCCGAACCACCTTGCCGATTTGATTTCGGCACCAGTTGCGTCAGCTTTGTTTCTTATGTTGTGGGAGGGCGGGTGGGAATGGGCATGTCATGCTTGACTCGCTCGAGCTGGCTTACTTGACTCCTGCTCCTACTCCTACTCTTACTCCGACTCCTATCCTTATTCCTTCTTCTAATATACTCTTACTACCCCCTCTGGCCGGCCGGTAGCGGTTCCATCCGGGCCCTCACATCCAAATTGTAATCAATCAGTACAAAGTCGTCGTTGTTCCTTTCAACATGGCCTTTCTTGCCGTCGTCGATGCGAAATACGTTGCCAAAATAAGACGCGGCGCACATCGAGCGCGGCCGTCAATCCGGGCCCTCTATCATAATTGTAAAAAGTCGTCGCTGTTTCTCTCAACGTGGCCTTTTCTTGTCGTCCGCGCTGCGAAATGCGTAGCCAAAATAAGACGCGGCGCACATTTTTCGCGGCCGTCCACCGTCCATCCGGGCCCTCCCATCCTAATTGTAAAGCATCAATGCAACATCGTTGTTGTTTTTCTCAGCATGGCCTGTCTTGTCGTCGACGATGTCAAATGCATGGCAGGAGCGGGACGCGCCGCACATCGCGCGCGGACGTCTGGGGCAACTCCAAGCGGGAGGGGCCATCCTACCAGCCCGAAGAGAATACAAAGTCGACCTGTTTCTTCTCAACGTGGACATTATTGTCGTCGGCGTTGCGGAATGCGCGGCAAGAGTGGGGCGCGACGCAGTCTCGCGCGACAGGACCAAATGTCGCTCTCGCGTTGGCGCCGCGCGCATGTTTTCTGAAAGCTGCGTTCCCGCAAAGGCGCAGCGCACATGTTTCGCTCGCCAATTCGTCGGGCGCCCGGGGCCACTCAGGGCCTCGTGGATTCTCCTGGGGCCTCCTGAGGCTCCCTGGGGCTCCCAGCTCGCCAATTCGTCACAGGACCAAATGTCGCTCTCGCGTTGGCGCCGCGCGCATGTTTTCTGAAAGCTGCGTTCCCGCAAAGGCGCAGCGCACATGTTTCGCTCGCCAATTCGTCGGGCGCCCGGGGCCACTCACGGCCTCGTGGATTCTCCTGGGGCCTCCTGAGGCTCCCTGGGGCTCCCAGCTCGCCAATTCGTCACAGGACGAAATGTCGCTCTCGCGTTGGCGCCGCGCGCATGTTTTCTGAAAGTTGCGTTCCCGTACAGGCGCAGCGCACATGTTTCGCTCGCCAATTCGTCGGGCGCCCGGGGCCTCCCAGGGCCTTCTGGAACATCCCGGGACATGATAGTGCCTCTTGGGGCCAGCCCAGGGCCTCGTGGATTCTCTTGGGGCCTCCTGAGGTTTCCTGGTGCCTCCAGCTCGCCAATTCGTCGGGCTTCCCGGGGCCTTCCCAGGGCCTCGTGGATCTTCCTGGGGCCTCCTGAGGCGTCTGGGAGTTTCCTAGGATTCTCCGGGGCTTTCTGACACGACTTAGCGCTTCCTGTAACCTCGTGGTACCTCCTAGGGCCTCCTGGGGTTCGCTGAGGTTTCCTGCAACCTTCTGGGGCCTCCTGGGGCCTCATGAGGTTTCCCGGGGCCTCCTGGGGCATCCTCGGCTCGTGCTAAAATGCCAGCGCAGCCTTTGAGACGCGCCAGGAATTTCCCATTGGTAACCGCCATCGCGGCTGTATCAGCTGTGCCGAACCACCTTGCCGATTTGATTTCGGCTCCCAATTGCGTCAGCACTGTTTCTTATGTTGTGGGAGGGCGGGTGGGAATAGGCATGCCATGCTTGACTCGCTCGAGCTGGCTTACTTGACTCCTGCTCCTACTCCTACTCCTACTCCTACTCCTCCTCCTCGGTCTCCTCCTCCTTCTCTTCCTCTTCCTCCTCCTTCTCCTTCTCCTCCTCCGCCTCCTCCGCCTCCTCCTCCTCCTCCTCCTCCTGGCGACGGGCAGGGCCCTCCCGTGGCACCCCGCGCGCGCGAGGCCCGCAAGGCGGCCAAGGAGCTGCAGACGCAAGTGGACCAGCGCAAGGCCGAGGTCCAGGACTGGCGCCGCCGCCGCCGAGTTCTGTGCCCCCAGCGCCTCGCGCGGAGAGGCCTCGCGCCCTCCTTGTCCTCCTCCTCCTCTTCCTCCTCCTCCTCCTCCTCCTCCTCCTTTCCTCCTCCACCTCCCTCCCTCCCTCCCTCCCTCCCTTCCTCCCTCCTTTTCTTCCTCCTCCTCCTCCTCCTCCTCCTTCCTTTTCCTCCTCCTAGCCGCCGACCCGGTTCGAAAGGTTTTGGGCGCCGTACCAGGTACGGCGACCCTCTCGCGTGGGACAGCTGCCACGCGTGCTGGCCCGCCCGACACGCAGGGCCAGCCGCGCCAGATTGCCATTGCCACGGCGATCCACAGGCGTCCTCGAGAGGACCCAGCGTGGCATCGCCGCCTCCGCAAAGAGCGCAGCAGAGCCAGGCTGTTGGTGCAGATCGCTGCCGCGACGGACTTGCTCAGTCGACACCACAGCAGCCCAATGGCCAAAGGGATGAATATTCGTGACGGATGGCAGGAACGTGAACACAAACAGCCGCCATGGACGACGACGCCGGAGTACAAGCGACTGTGGGAATGTCCAGCATGTTCCTTGCACAACGCCTGGTCAGCCACAGCATGCGTGAAATGCCATCCCCACACATCACGCACACCTTCCATGGCATCCTCTAGGCTTCGACGCAGGGCAGCATCTTCGCAGCCGCGCAACAGAAACCCGACGCCCCAATCCAGACGGACGATTTCATTTCCATCAGGTGGCGCAACCCGCCAGCATATGCTTAACAGCTCGGAGAGTTTCGAATGGCTTTGACGGCCACCGTGGAGTCTTTAGAAATGGCAGATATGCGGCGCAGCGGACTTGCAGCTTGGAGATGATCAGATCAATGCCTTGGGGGACGAGCACAGCGCAGTATTGTACCAGATGAAGCACTCCAGATCGCCGCAAGCACGAGTGCATAATCAACGTTGATTCGCCCGCAGATGCCGCAGGAGGCTGATCGACTCGCAGGCCCGCTACAACTTGCTCCTGGAGGAGCTTGACGTGGCCTCCGAGCAATGCCAGGCGTTGCAAAACGAACTCGCACAAGCAGAATCGTGATTGGAGCACTTCGAGGAGCTAGAAGATGAGCAGCCCTTCGCCACAGCAGCTTCCAATATTGGGACGATGACGACGAGGATCTCATGGAGGAGGAGGAGGAAGGCAACAACGTTCGTTTTCGGCCAGGACTGCGCGATGCATCAGGTGCTGTCTCGCAGCAACCTTCCTTCGAGAAGACTGCCCGCGCGTCTACACCGCCAGCAAAGGGAAGTGCGTCGCGGTGGACCACGCCATTCCCAGCGGCACCAGCATCACCAAGTGTTCGATCAGCTGAACGGGAAGCAGGGCCACAGCGTCCCGCGCCACAGCCTCATGCGCAGGCGCGACGTGGAGAGGCTGCAGCTGCCTCCACGAGCGCCGACGTCAGCATGCAGGCTTTGCTCGCCGCCTTGCAGCAATCCAACTTCTAGGTGCTCCGCACCATGAAGACATTCCGGCAGGCGGTCACCACTCTCCAGAATGACATCAGCAACCTTAGGTCCGAGCAGCAGGCGCAGAAGAGCAAGATGACCGAGATCGCGGCGGAGGCGGCCAGGAAGGCCATCAACCCGATCCCGATTTAGAAGTTTCGCCACTTGGAGATCACGCCCTAGGCGCAGCAAGCAGGACGCGAGCAAATGGCGGCAGCGCTGCGAGGGCACCGCCCAGCCAGATCCGCTTCGCCCCGCCGTCGCGGCGACAGAGGACAGGCAGGGGGGGGGGGGGGGGGGGTCCAGCGCGCAGGTCTCGACGGCGCAGGTCTGCCGGGCAGCGGCGCGGAGGCAGTCGCCGCGCGCGAAGCAGCGGATGCCGCGGCAATCAAGGCCAGAGCGGACGCCACAGAGCCCGCCAGTGACACTGAGCCTTTTGCAGCCACTCCAGCGTGCGGCACTTCCGTAGCCAGCGCAGTTTTCTCGGCCTAAGAACTCGGATTCTGGTCTCCGCAGTCCAGGGTTTTCCACCGCGCTGCCTGTTTTGCATCAGGAAGCCCAAGAAAATCCTGACCGGCACCTCGGGTGTTCGATTGCTAGCCAGCGTGCGCTCTTTTTTTTTTTTTTGTTTCTCTCATCTCTCTCTCTCTCTCTCTCTCTCTCTCTCTTCTATCTCTCTCTCTCTTCTATCTCTTTTGTTTTGTTGTTTTTGTTTTCCTCTCTCTCTTCTCTTATCTTTTTCTCTTCTTCTAGCTTTTTCTTTCCCTCTCTTCTCTCTCTGTTCTCTTCCTCTCCATATCTTACCTCTCTCTCGGTTCTCTTTCTTTTTATAGTTCTTTCTTTCCTTTCTTTTTCTTCATCTCTCTCTTCTCTCTCTTCTTCTCTCTCTCTCTCTCTCTCTTTTTTTTTATTTTCTCTCTCTTCTCCTCTTCTTCTCTCTCTCTCTCTCTCTTTTTTCCCTCTCTCTCATTATCTCCCTCCCTTCTTTCTCTCTGCCTCTCTCTCTCTCTCTGCCTCTCTCTCTCTGTGCCTCTCTCTCTCTCTGCCTCTATCTCTGCCTCTCTCTCTCTCTCTCTCTCTCTCTCCTCTCTCTCTTCTCTCTATTCTCTCTCTGCTCCCTCCTCTCTCTCTCACTCTCCCTCTCTCTCTCTCTCGCTCTCTCTCTTCTCTTCTCTTCTCTTCTCTTCTCTCTTCTCTCTATCTCTCTATCTCTCTCTCTAGTCTCGGCTCGAGAGTGCCCTGCACTCAGACCGCAGCCGCGACGCGAAGCGCCCCGCCTCGGAGTCAGACTCCCAGGCCTCGCGAGACCGGAGGGGTCCCAGCAGGACCCTACTGATTCGCGTCACCTCTCCCCACCAGAGCGCCCGCAGCAATGGCCCCCAGTAAGCCGGAGCGCCGTCGCTCTTCCAAGCAGCCTCCGAGCTCACGTCCTGCTGCTGAAGGGTCTCTCCTCCAACGCAAGTAGGACTGCATCGCAGCTTTCAAGCAAGCGGGGTCTGACCGCCCCACGGCCGCATACAACGGGCTTGCCGAGCTGAACGCGGACGAGCTTCAGGCCACGTACGACATGCACAAGACCAACACAAAGAAGCTCGGCAGTGCCTTGATCCGCATGTGTGCCGCAAACCAGATCAGCTACACGCTGGATCACCACCAGCGCAGCAAGCCTAAGCGCACTGGCGGTGACACATCACACCCACCAGCTGGGTCCGCACGTCTTCAGGCTGCGGGCACCCAATTCATTGCCTTGGACCCGGCCTTTTGGAAGGTCCCAGTCCTCGCCGAACCCACATCACCTGACGACGGCAAGACGTACAAGCCCAGTATCAGCCTCCCCGACTACGAGAGCGGTGAACGGCTGCTGCAACACCACCTCGAGCAGGGTAAGCGTACCACGGGTCAGCTTGCGATTGCTGTCATGGGCCCAAAAAACGATAACTACGTCGGTGCCGAGCTCGCCGTCCCCGTGCTGAAGCGTCACCCCAAGGCGCCCAAAGTGGTCCACACGCACGTCCCCGTGACCGTGTACCAGCAGGGCACCAAGGAAGTCGCCTGCACGGAAAAAGTAGCCGTCGCCACCATCGACCCTGCCGACCACGTATGCTGGATTCGGGCGACCATACATGAAACCGAGGCCATTGCCGCAGTCCCCTCCATGCATCAGGCCTTCGAGGACCAGTTCTCGGGAGGTGCCCCCGTGAACGGTGGTCCACGCGCCAAGGGTCCTTTCCGAAGGGACTCCGCTCCACAGGACAAGGCGCGTCAAAACCAAAAGCACAGGGAGTCCAAGAAAGACGCTCGCCGCCAGGAGCTCGATAGTCAGCTCCAAGACACCTTCAAGGCCCTCTTCCACTGCAACTTTAAAGCCGTCACCATCCTCGAACCCTGCAAAAGCCTAGGCAGGTATGGATCGGGCGTCGGAAAGAGGTCCCTGGCTGCCACCTTCGGCGTCAGTCTTCAAGCGGTTGACAAGGTCTTGGCGGGTTCAGGGCAACTCGGCGCCACCTACGACCTCAGCAACGTAGGTGCAGACGAGCCCACTGCAGACAAGTACCTGACCGTGTGGTTCCCTGAGGACCAGCCCATCACGATGGCAGATGCGTTCCAGAAGTCGGTGGATTTCAAGGCCCTGGGAGTCGTCAGGCACGGCAAGTCAGGCTTATTGGGGATCCGTGTTTCACGAGGGTCAGACGCCGCAAAGGCTGCTGCCGTCAGCATCCGCGGCTGCGAAGCCACCCTCGCCAAGACGCGCTACCGCATCACTGGCATTGCGGCACGCCGCGCCACGCTGACCCAGCTCGCCAAGACTCTCACGGGCCCGTCCGTTAAATGGGACTGTGAGGTCTACCACACCGCCTGGGACCCAGCCACTTCGGCTCAGTTTGCCTTAGTGCGCGCCCATCGTCCCCCACCCACATATACGGTACAGGTCGCTGGGTGCCCCATCCCGTGGAGCATCACCGAGGCCCCGTTGGCTGAGGTGGTGCCGAAGAGGGACAACGTTACCATTGTCACCCCTACCACTATCACAGAGCCTGTGACGCCGCCAGCCCGTGGTGGCGGCTTCAGCCCCGCCGCTGGCACACTACTCACCAAAGCGGCCCAGAGCCCTTACCTCCACGACCTCATGACTGCCACGCCCAAAGGCAAGGGCGTCGCACCGCTCCTGATCCCCAAGGTGGAGCCTTTAGCCAAGCGCCACCGATCCTCCAGTGGGAAACGCGACGCCACGCCGCACGCAAGATCACACGGCGCCCCAGGCCGCAGCTCCTCTGCACCCCCGCACGGCACGGACGGAGCTGCCGAGCAGTCGGCCGTCCAAGGATCAGGTGGTCATGACCCGCAGCTTGGCACGGTGGCGGCTGAAGGTGGGGGCCACACCGAAGGGGACGCTGCCACAGCCGCCGAAGTACCAGGCGACGCTGACGACGTCGAGATCCTCTCATCAGGTGATGAATACAGCGTGGCTTCCCACGAACTCAACACCTTCGGCGAACGCTTCGCAT